TTAAGGGGTAACACCACTGTAACGGCCCAAAAAATTGCACTTTTTCGACATTTTTTTTTTAATGGAAGGAAATGAAATAAAGTATTAATATTCCGTGAAGTTAATAAGCATATATTGAAGTACTTGTAAACATTTTTTCATAAAAAAATATTACAAAATGGCGGAATGGCAGCCATATTCCCGATGCGCCTTTAAAATAAAGGGGTCCGCGGCAAGCAGTGTAGCCGTTGGAAATTTGAACCTAGAACAAATAAAATCATTCCTCATGATCTTCAATGGTATATCTAGTACAATACGTAGGGGATTTTAGAAATATTGATTTTTGAGTGATTGGCGAGCATTTGAATAAAGTCGTTCATTTTTCGACACAAAAAAGTGACATTATTTGGCAATAAAAAATGTTTAAAGCAACGTATCGAAAATCCCGTACGTATTGTACTTCGAAATGTTGTTTTGAATGTACAGTAAAAAATTCGAGCGAAAATATTAAAAATTGTTTGAGTTATACTGCTTGTCATGTTGAAAAAACGTGTTTCGAGAAAAACGCGTTTAAAGTTTGGAGTTGTATTATGAACATGAAAAAATTGAAAATTCGACTCAAAAAAAATTTTTACCATTAGTCTGCAATCCCAGCACCGTAAAGCTGCCCTTCTAAGTTGGAATATTCGTCCTCCATTTCTTTCCTCGCAGATGTTATGCTAGAGCGCGTCTTTTTTGCCGCATCTGATAATTGCGCCTCTGCGTGCTTGATTCGTTTTGCGTCGGATTCGGTGCAAAAATTATATGCTTGGACGCCAATTTCCATTTCCAGAAGCTGCATAATGTGTATAATACTAGTCATTCCATCATTAAAGACGCATGTAGCGATATCCGCCGCTACATTTAGGACTGTCTTGCCGCTTGAGTACGATTTAGGAGCCAAATTCCACACTGTCGCATTAAAACTTTCGTTACTATTCTGCGTGTAACCGCCCAGGCAACGGTTTAGTAACTCGTCTCGACTCAAATCTTCATAAATAGGTTTTATGGCTTCGTAAACTTCCTCGGAAAGCGGTGACTTGTGACGGAAAGTGTCCAAGGTGTCTGCTTCTTGCGCCTTCTTCCAATTGCACCAAGATTTCGAGCACTTCTCGTGTTGCGGATTTTCGTCAGTTGATAACTTATGAAATAAGGTCGCCCAAATTTCATTTTTCATGGCATCTAAGGATGTTGGGTTCCGACGAATGGCCAAACCATAATAAATAGTCAGCTCGTCTATTAATTTGGCACTTAATTTTCCTTTTCCTCCGAGGTTTTTCGATGATTTTTTCAGATTACGAAGTCGCGTTCCCATTCTTTTCTGTACTTGCGAGATGCATTCTTTCTTCTGTACTACTAAATCTTCATACGGTTCAGAGTCGATAATACCTTTAAATGTTTTACTATCACCATCCCCGATGTAGCTTGAATATTTGAGATCGTGCAAATCTTTTGAGCGATGGAACATCTCGATGACTGCGTCAACTTCCATTTTTCCCGATGATCCTTCGTGGTTCGCTTTACATACATCGGCGTGCGTTTTATACCATTCGTCATAGTCACAAGTGTCCAATTTTTTCTTCCACTGTTCGCAACTTTTACAATATTTAGATTTTACCTCAACATCGACAATTTGCCCAGAAAACCAACCAATCAATGACGTGATTCCAAAAAGCGAAGAAAATCCGCGTTTTCTCCAAGAACCATCACCGGAAACCGTTATTCCTGCAGATTGTCCATGTTCTTCAGTCATTTTCTTCTCTTTTTGTGCTGCTTTTTTTAAACTGGAATGTCTTACTGTTGATGTTGCGATTGAAATCATATTCACTAATTTATCGTAAAAAGATTGGAATATTGGACGTGGTAATTCCATGAAAGCACAAAACTTAATAATTCCATTTAGTCCAACTCCTACTAATCGCATAGCTAGAACGATTCGACGATTTATTTCGTATGCGTTTCGTATATATTTACAACTAGGAATTACAACTTCCGGGCAATTAGGACAAGCGATAACTATTTTGAAGCCTAAGCCACGAGGATTTCTTTCACGAAAAGTAATATCGGAATTACACTTTTTACATTTCACATGTTGTGAAATCACAGCAAAAACTGCCAAAAAATTTATAATTCTGTACCCGAATTCATAATTTACGTCCAAATCTTCACTCGTTTTCAACTTCTTGGCAGACGCACTCACGCCTTCCGCGTCGCCTTCAACCTCGAATCTGTTCTTCGGTCGTCTTTTCGACACGTTGCTTCGAAGCCGCGTTGAATGCAATTCTTTTGTACCTTTTTGGCGCGAATAAATTTTTTTTATATCACTCATTTTGCTATCTAAACACTCCGAAATTACACAAAAAACTGCTCAACTCGAAGCGCACACGTACAAAAATAAACGACGGTTATTGATTTCAAGCGGGAAAATCGTGTTTCGTACACGAAATGATGCAATACTGACGCGTAAACACGTGTTTCTATATGAAAATGCTTCTAAAATTACTCCTAGAGACATCTATTAGTGTGTCACATAACTTAGAAATCAATAAG